TATGAAAGCAGATTTTTCTTGTGCATCAACATCTAGGGGTATTTGCCAATACCCCCTAGTCAGGTCCAGGGTGCTTATAAACTTGGCCCCACCCAGTGTATCTAACAGATCCTCTATTCTGGGGGTGGGGTAAGGGTCAGGCTGAGTTATAGCATTTGGATTCCTGTAATCCACACAGGATCTGAAGAAGGGGGTTTTTACCCACGAAAGCTTATGCCCAAATAAATCTGTTAGTCTTTAAGGTGCCACCGGATTCCTTGTTGTTTTTGTAATCCACACAAAATCTCATGGTTTTATCCTTTTTTGGCACCATCACAATGGGAGAGGCCCAGGGGTTGTACGGGTGCTTCCAATTGGGAGTTTCCTGTTCCCTCTGTCGAGCTTTCTCCTCCGCAGCCAGCAGCTCCAGATGCCCCTTACGAGCCTCCTCGATATCAGCGTTCTTTGGCTTCTCCAGCAAGCCAAGATCTGCTAGTTTCTGTTCATGCTCAAGTTGCAGTTTATTTGCTGCCTTTTGCACTCTAATTCTTTCTGCAGTTTCTGTAGCTCAGGTAAGGGCTGTGCTCCTGCCTCCTGATCACTGGCCATGAACAGCTCTCTCAGTTCTTGATTTGTAGCGTCTTTCTAAAGCTTATCCCCTTTTCCAAACACAAATCTTCCAGGGCTTTTTTGCCAAGTCCCTCATATGCTCTTTGCTCAGCCATTGCAGCAGCTCTTCAACCAACAAAACTCTCAATCCCAACATTCAAATGTGGATAGCGCGGGGTTCTGACCCAGAGCTTCACTCACCTGGTTCTGTGGATCCAAGCCCGACTACGCCACTGTGACGGTGCTGCCCGTGGGAGCCAGCTGAGGTCACTCAATCAGGGTGAACTGCAAACAAAACGGGGCAGACAAACCCCAAACGCTGGTGGATCTTCCAATACTTAGATTTACCAACCAGCACAGAACAGCTTCTGTAGAACCTCACTGGTTACTCAGAGTCCAAACAACGCAGTTCCCTTAAAGCGCCCAGCCTCAGGCCTCCATCCAGACACACCTGTCAGATATGATGATTGTCACGGAGGGTGGGGGACACCAGGCCCTGCACCCCTGGGTTCCTGCGATTCACTATGACTCTCAGCCAACCAGTAAAGCAGAAGGTTTATTTAGACGACAGAAACACAGTCCAAGACAGGTCTTGCAGGCACAGACAACAGGACCCCCTGAGTTAGGTCCATCTTGAGGTCCCAGGGCACCCTAGCCCCCTTGGGAGGTCACAGCCCCATCTGCCTCCCAGCCATGTCACCAGCCAGCTCTGAACTCTCTCTCTAGCCTTTGTTCAGTTTTCCGGGCAAAGGGGTCACCTGGCCTCTAACCCCTTCCTGGGTTCTCATGTTACATGCTCAGGTATTCTCCCACGGCCAGTCCCCCATCCTCCAATGCAGACCATCCTAGCCACACTCCCCTGTCAGCATTCAAAGACCACAGTAAGAACAGTCCCAGTTCGTCACAATGATGATTACTGAAAATCTTATCTCATCATATACAAGAAAAGGTTCTACCAATCCCAAAGGGTCAGCCACATACCCAGGTCCAATTATAACTTAGATCTTCCCCAAAATACATGTTAATAGCCAATTCTTATTAACTAAACTAAAATGTATTAAAAAAGAAAAGAGAGAGAGTGTTGGTTAAAAGATCAATATACAGACAGAATTGAATTCAATTCTTGAGGTTCAGGTACATAGCAGAGATGAACTTGTAGTTGCCAAAAGTCCTTTTAGAAATAGTCCATAGGTTATAGTTCAATGTCCACATTCAGGGAGGCTCCAGTCAGTGACTGGGGATCTCAATCCTTATGGCTTAAGGTTTCCCCCTCTTGAAACCCAAAGCAGATCTGAGATGAAGCAGGATCGTGTCCCAGGGTTCTTATACATTTCCAGCAGCCTTTTGGCTTGAGAAAACAGTAGGCTTAACTCTCCTTCTCCCAAACATCCTGGCAATTAGCCCAGGGTAATTTATCCATTACACAGTTCAGATACAGGTTACCCCAACCGTCAAAGAGACATAGAGACAATAATACTATTTCCCTCAAGTATCATCACAAATGTTAATATTCCCCTTTTGGTCTTTGAATCAAAGCTGTAGCAATAGACAAGACTTGTTTGCTTACATCACAAGACCTGTGCAAACAGCTCCCCTTCTATCTCTAACAATGCAGACTTGCATCTCAAAGCTCTGTTCATTTACAGATCTTCCTAACCAGTCTCTAAAGTTCAGCCATGGCTCAGGTCAGTCTGGGAGTTAATTAACTCTTTCTGGCCCTGTCACCTTTCAATGAAATACTATATTACACTCACAACGTCACAAGGGGCTGTGAGGGGGTGGGGGAGCGAGGGATGGTTGGGCTATCAGGGGTTGGGGGAGAGAGTTAGGGAGAGAGGGCTGTGGGGCTGTCAGGGATGGGGGAGTGAGGGGCAGTGGGGCTATTGAGGGGTGGGGAGAGGTTTGGGAGCGAGGGACTGTGAGGGGGTGGGAGCGAGGGGCTGTTGGGGGTTGCTCGAGAAGGGTGTGGGAGCAAGGGACATGGGGCTGTCAGAGGGGTGGGGGGAGAGGGACACAGAGTGAGGGGCTGTGCGGGGAACGAGCGAGGGGCGTGGGGCTGTCTGGGGGTGGGGGGAGAGGGACACAGAGTGAGGGGCTGTGAGGGGAACGAGCGAGGGGCGTGGGGCTGTCTGGGGGTGGGGGGAGAGGGACACAGAGTGAGGGGCTGTGAGGGGAACGAGC